CCCAAGTATTCCGACGCACCAGTGGAGCCTTTGGATGAGGAGATGCTGAGCGAGTTGGCCAAGGTGCCAGCGGTCATCGAAGGCCAGCGGAACACAACTTACACCAGATTTGTGGATTTGTGACAATACGCACAGCTTGTGCACGGCACAAGTTGACAATATAGGGAGGGGTGGATTCAATAAAGGCCCCAAAATGGAAGAACGGTTTTAATAATGGCAGACGGTTGATGGCTCGGGTGGCGACATTTTTGTCGCGACTTATTTTGATCTTCAGGCGAGTTCAAACACAACTGGGGCACTGCGGAGACGCTCTACAAGTCAGAGGCCATGCCCAGTGACAGCCTTCGATCCAGAAAGCAGACAGGGCTGTAAAACAAACCTGGCGTAACAGAAATCCTTTCTTTTTTGTCCTCTTTGTTTTCGGACTACGACAGACTACTATAATTATAGTGGACGGTTTCTATTGTGACTTTGATTGGACAATCAGCTGAGTAAGTTGGATTTGCACTCATGCATTTGTCAGTATGTGTGGAGCTGACTTAGCAGCTTGGCAGGCCATTGATTCCTTTGGCAGCAAGTACTTGTTGGGCATTTTTGAGAAGGAGGAAGATGCTAAGAAAGCCTTCGATGTGTGGAACAAGGAGTACGAGCAGGCCAGGTTGGCTGCAATTCCAGTTCCTGATTCAAGCCTGTTCGTGTCTTATTCGCACATATACACCTTGTTTATTTTGTCATGCAGGCTAAATTTCCTGGAATCCAAAGGTCTTTGAGAACAGGTGGATCAATCTTGATGAAGCCAATTGGAGGCCGCAGGTCGTGTGTTCCAAAGAGGCCACAATCGCTCAGACCGTTGGGTCTTTCCGAACTTGCTGCACCGGATTCCGCTTCCAAAGCTCCAATTGGCCCTCCATCTGGCCCCTCCGTCCCCCCATAACATGTGAGGAATTCTCATATACCCCAGGCAGGCAAAGATGTGAAAGAGAACCTGAAGAGCTGGGCCAAGGGCCAAGAGGCTGAGCTGGCAGAGGCAGGGATGGTGGCAGGATTTTTGGTTGGAAAGAATATCGAGCGCGAGCAGCTGAAGTTGTGACAAAGACCCTTTAGCTTTCAGCTTAACTGTTAACTTAAAAAGTTATTTTGGATGTGCGCGCAACTTTGCATGGTATGATTCTACTACTGTAGTAGTAATAGCAATGCCCTTGTTACTAGTAGCGATGCACTTGTTGCTAGTAGCTTCTTTAAATTATCGGAGGATGAAGTGACCAAAGCGACGAGCAGAACTTGCGCATTGCAGGAGCAGGATTCTGTGGATCGCATCCGAAAGGCCCTCGAGGAAGCACAGCGCTGAGCCGCTGAGCTATGGAAAAGAGATGAAAGAGCATCTCTAGAGCCAAAGAAATGGGCCTCGAAGGTGAACCAATAGTCTCGATATCCATGGATGCTTGGGTCATCTTGGGTCTCATGACCCCAATGAGGAATAATAATAGTATGGTCTTATGACCTGTTGCAGGTTGGGATTTGCCTCGCAACTCCCAGATTTTTTCACGCCTTCTCCTATTCCTGCCACGGGGCAGGCCTTTGGTCTTGCAAAAGCTGGGAAAACGATGCAGAATCTCTTGTGCTCAGCTGATTTGATCAAGATGAAAAGACAACGGTGAGGTACGGTGAGGTGCTTTGCTGGTTCTTGGCATTGTGTGAGGTTACAATCTGCAGCCGCGAAGTGCATAACATAGGCAAGAGATGGCAAGAGCCAATACCTGACTGAAAAATCCAGCCCCAAGACCTGAATTGTTTGAAGCACATTTCAACAGTGGCTCAGGATGACTCAGGGATTTGGACATTGGACATACTGATGCAAATATTAATATAATCAAGCATAAATATCTAAAGATGTTGCAACTTTGATTTCAGGAGCAGACACTCAGCTAATCCATGCTAATCCCAAACGTTTGGTGAACTTCCGATGCTGGTGCCTTCGTGCCATGGTCAGCGAGCCCATGTCACACGGTTCATCCCTCCATCCCGCGCGCGCGACGCGAGACGTCCGCGCGGCGCCCGCGCTGTGCGCTCCGCAGTGGCCGTGGGGCTTGTGGCTTCCAGCTCAGCGGTGAAGAAAGGTCGTCGGAAGCTGTGGACACATGGCATCAATGCTTTGTGACATAGCCTCGCTCCTTTTTGGCACATGTTTAGGCCCTTCTCCTCCAAAACGTGCAAATAAGAAAGAACTACCTTGGCACCAGGCACTAGAACCCCCTGGGTGCTTTCGGTCTTACTGCAACAGTATACATCCATCATCCATTAGCTTTTGGGAAGACATATCATCGTTTTTCGCGCTTCCAGGGATGAGCTGAATGATGCAGCAGAAGGTGGTGACGTTGTCCGTGCCATCAAGCTCTTTGAGCACATGCGCCTGTGCGTCAAGATGGCGTCGTCAGTGAGGCGTCATAGTTCCCGGCGATGGATTCGCACGGTGGCCCAGGCAATCGTGGCTCCCACTGGGCGACACTCGTATGGCCATCAACACTGTCATCAAGGCACTCTTGATGCAGAGCTTATTGCATCATTTATATATCACAGTTAGTAGTTTGTGTGTATATTTGTGACACATTTCTTGAGCTTACGCAGGCAAGCTGGCACTTGCAAAGCATTTGCAAGACATTTCATGCGGCGTTCATGGCCTTGATTTCAATACACATGCTGTTTGGGTCGTCCTTACACTTTGCACATTTGGGCATATGTGGGCTCCCGAAAGGCTTGTGCCAACGCGGCTGATATTGATGCCGCAGAAGAGTGGTATGAGCGTATGCTCGAGAATGGCGTGCTGCCAAATAAAGAAACATTTGGCAACTCGACTTTGATCCCGGTCACCAGCCAGTTCATGTTTTGTCGTATTGTTTGTGCCAAGATGATTGGCTGAGGAAAACTGTCGGAAGCAGAGTCTTGGTGGAAGAACAGGGGATGGACAGCGGCTCGAGGTGATATGACGTTCTTGGTCTAGCTACTTCTAAAGCTTGTGTTGGCTGCAATGGTTTTTGCTTGGCATTGAATGATATATTATTTGGTGGTGTAGCAAGTTCCATCACGTTTCACTTTCATGCGATTCTCACCGCCGCAGCGCCCTCACACTGGGCAAGACATCGCCCACATTTCATGTGGCCTCGAGGCAGCAAAGGCTGGATGCGTGGAGAAAGCCCAGAAGTGGTTCTGGGAGCGCACCTTGCTGGAGTGTTTCCGGGCCAGTTGGGTGACTCTCCTCCCCTCGAACTCTGAAAAACCAATCTAACTGTTGATGATTTGCCGGTTTTACAGCTGTGACCTCAGCGTTACGGAGCTTTGGGCCAGCTCGGATGTCAAGAGAGCAGACCTTTGCAACGACTATTGATGTAGATTATTCTTTCATGTTGAATCATTGATACTGGAGGAGCCCTAATATGGGCCCCAGCTTTGCTTGAGGAGAGCCGGAGTGTTGGATCCGGAGATGATATTTGTGCCTTGTTTGTTGGCGCTTATTGGGTGTGAGCAATGGCCCTGCTGTGTTCGGTGCACTGTCACATTGACATTTGCCTTTCACCTTGGACATTTGCCTGGCAATTCACATGTTCGAGGTGAAAAGCAACAGCTGCAGCTGGGTCCGATTCCCATGAATATTCTGATTGATGCTTCTGCCAAAAGTGTCTTGGCATCTTTGTTGCCTCTTGAGCAGATGTGCAGATGCTATATAACTATATATATAATGGGCCATGAATATACTGGATGTGGATTAGTATTTGGACTATATACATAATATATAATAGGTTGTGGATGATAGAGCCCCAACTTTACCAACTAGCCACGACGCACTACTCTCAGAACTCGTGCACATTGCTTTGAGCTGCTCACGGTCCATCATCATCCGCCAACCCGAGCTGTGCTTTACTATGCTTGCTCCTACAACTAGCCCCTACCATTCAACAAGTCCAAGCGGGAAAAGCCTCTCGCATGGGGGAGCAGGTCATGGATGGCCGTTAATAATAGGATCCGTGATTCTTAGACGTGATTCACCTATTGTTCTCGCCAGCCACGGAGGTGGTGACAAGGCTGCAGCGGTGAAGCATCTCAAGGACATGGGCCGCCGTAGCATTGACCCGACAGAGGAGAGCTACAACAGTGTCATCAATGCCTGCGCGCGAGTGGGTGACTCTCAGGGAGCCGAAGTCTACTTGCGCAAAATGTGCCTTTGCTACAACAAGTGCATCACTACTGGTAACAAGGGCATTTACTACTAGTAGCAAGAAGCTACTAGCAACAAGGATGCTCTCAAGCGGATCGCATTTGGGAGTCATGTTTGTTGGGCTGTTTGATCAGAGGTTTGCAGGTTTTGGTGCAGGTATCATGAGAGTCAAAACTTTTGTTTGAATAGCCAGCTGCTCAAGAGATGAAACAGACAAGGTTATTAGTAAGATGTTCTTCCGGCAGCCCCGGCTTAAATTTGTTTCGCAGTCATGCCCCAAGTTGCAGTGACTCGGCCTTGCACGTTGTGAGGCAAGAGCAAGGATTGAAGCCAACCTTGTTCAGCTTTACCTCTGCAGACTTGGATGAAGATTAGCTGATTAGCCTCCCACAAAGAGGGTGAGTAGCAGTAGCAAGGAGACGCAAAATAGGATAAATAGGATTTCATCAAGCTGGCCATCAAGGAGGCGTTTCTTTAAGATTGGATAGCAATTTGGCATGAGCCAGACTACTTGCCCTCTTGGGTTTGGGAGCTCAACCTCATGTCAGAGGCCCCCACATTTACCACGTCGCTCATGGTCATGGCTGATTGTTCAAGTGTTACTGTATGTCACCAGGGCCAAGACAGTTTCATTTTAGATAAGTCACAGTCAGGCTTGACAAACATCAAAGAGACTGCTGTTACACACACACAGCCAGGGCATTTGTTTCATTCCCTTGTTGGAAGGGTGTCCCAAAGTTGCAACAGCATGGTTCGTTCCATTTGATCCCGTCACGCTTGAGACCGAGGTAATAGATAGCTGTGCAAAGAGCGGTGAAACGGAAAGAGCGGAGCACTGGTTTCAGGAGCTTCAGAGAGTAAGTCTAGCCTTTTGGCCAGGAATGAATTTCCTTCCGTACGTTGAATTGTCGATTTAAAATATGTAGTCGCAAGCCTTTGCTCGACTTGCTGATCCAAGTATAAATCTGAAGTTCACCCCCGGCTTCCTACGAAAGGAACACCTAATAAGGTGATCGTACAGACGAATTTGCAAGTGGAGCGTGTGTGATTTGTGAATGCAAGCGTTTGGTGCCTCCTTTTGAAATTGGATTGTGGTAGAGTGGTGCAAGATCATCACAGAAGCATGTGCTCTTAGGATGAGGAAGATTGATTCGATATGATTCGATTGCATGTTCGAGGTATTCTCAATATTTCTCAATAATTAGCGACACTCACTTTGAAACAAGGGATGAACCAAGATCAAGATGCTGTCTATGGCATGGTCCCACCCACCTCATTCAATCCAATCTAAGAGAGCCAGTTTCTTTCGGAGAATTCTAGTTTCCTCCTTTTTTTTGGAGGCTCGGCTGGACAGATGAAGCAAGGTTTGCAGAACAAGTATAGTCCAATAGTATCCTATAGTACAGTCCTTTGAATTCCATGCCTTTAGACCAAGCTAGTAGGTTGGAGGCCATCGCTACTCGGTTGGAGGCCATTGCTATTAGGGTGGAGGCCATCGCAAGTATATTGTTTTGTCGCCAGCATTCCAGGTCCCCAATGTGGTGAGCTACACGGCCCTCATCGATGCCTACGCTCAAGCAGGCGATGCACGAAGTGGCGAGAAATTGCTGCGGCGCATGATCCAAGAAGGCATCGCCCCGACGGAGGTGAGCTACTCTTGCCGCTGGGCGCAAGTGTGACCCTGGTACCGACCATGAACTCAATCTGAGCTCCTGAAGATTCGGAGTCCAATGTTAGAAAGCACCTGCGTCCTGGTGCTAATAGGATATAGCGCATCTGGCTGCCTAAGGTATCATGAACGCTTACGCCAGCCATGGGAATGAGGTTAACTGCATGAGGCTGTTGCAAGAAATGTGTCGCCAAAATCTGCAGCCCACTGAGAAAACCTACAGCATCATGATGAAGTGCCTTGGTTTCGTTGGAAGCAGCTGGCTCAGCTGACCGAATACTGCCTTGTTCGGCTAGCAAATCCAAGAACATGAACTCCAACAACTCTGCAGCATTTGTCAGCAGAGGGAAGTTTGAGCCTTCAGTTTTGTGGTGTTCCGTGGCAGTACTCAGTACATCACTTCAAGTACTGCCTCTTTGTCAGCTCTTTTTGATGCATCTGAGGTGTGCCGCCATGTCTGGGGATGTACCGACTGCTCTAAGTTGGTTTCAAAGAAGCTTAGTTGCGGTAGACCATTAAGACAGACATATTCAGATTTGAGGATATGCAAATTCTCATGTTTCCCTTGAATACCGTTGCGAACAATCCAGCACACTATATATTCCTAAGGCATGGCTGATTGAGTGCTAAATGATATTGATTTATACAATTTTATACACATGTATGTATGCAAGGTAATGTAACGCAATGTAATGCAATGTATGTAGGTATGTATTAATGTAATGTAATATAATGCAGCGTGATGTAATGTATATATATAATGTAATGCAGTGTCATTTAGTGTAATGCGGTGTTATGTAATGTATAATGTATATAAATGTACTGTTACTGTAGTATTGCAATGTAATTTCATGTAAGTTCAATGTAATGTAAGGTTTGTATGTTGGGCGTGTTGTCAAGTTGGAATAGCTTTCCTTGCTTTCCCAGGAATCGAGGATGAAGGGAAGCCAGACCTGCCCAGCTCCTTGACCATAAGGGAAAAAACACAACTGTCTAGATTGTTGGTGCATGAGTCGCCGCAGCTCTCAACCACAAAACTCATCAAAACTCGAGGTGTCAACCACCAGCTGATGTTGGCAGGTGCCAACCACTACCTGTTGAAGTTGCCTCCACCAACCACCCGTGGAGCCCTGACTGAGGCTACAACACCATCTTGTCTGCCATAGCGATCTCAGCCAGCTCCACGAAGACCATGGAGCCGGCCTTGGTTTCTGGGCGTACACGAGGTCGTCGTGCCACAGGCAATGCCTGGGAGAGGGAAGGAAGTTGGTCAAGAGATGTCAAACATCGGGATGCTATCTCAGGCACGTTTCTGCATTCTTGAATGCCCTGGACAGGAGAGAGAGAGAGAGACCTAACTCCTGACCTCTGTATGGTCATGCCAGGTTTGGCTGCCATTCAACATGCAAAAGATAGGTCATAGGTTTCAGAGCGGCTGGAAGTCCAGCTGGGAGCTTTTTGAAAGCCTGCACACCTGGCGACACAGCCGTTGTGAGCCGTTTGTTTTGCTGGAGCCATCAGGATTGGATGAAGCGTTTGGAGAAGAACAACCTCAAACCCAATGTCACAACTTTCAACTGCTTACTCGGCGGACATGCACGTATGGCGGATATTGATGGGGCCTTGAAATGGTTTGAAGCGATGCAGAAGCGAGGCATCGTACCGAACAGAGAGAGCTACAAGGTCGACTCTTGCCTTTTTGCTGCTGTTTTGTTTTCGTGTCCAATTTGTTTCCTGTATATACATGGTTACATGTGAGGTATATACCCCCAACTACTAAAGGTCTAGGATGGGGTCCATGTATTGTAGTTGCCGGTGAGGCATGGCATGCTCACGACCAAGCCCGAGACGTGAAGAGAGCCGCTGTGTGGCTTCGACGCTGGATCGATGCCGCCGTGCCGGGACCGGGCTTTGGGCCCTATGCGTGGATGGTGGAGCCTCTCGGTGGCACCAAAGGATTCACGAGCTTGCAGACTTTGACACAGTGCTTGACGAGTTGGCCAAGACGGTTTGGGTTTTGGACCGATGTCCTTTGGGTACCACCTTATCTCAGTGTAGAACAACTTTGGCTCATGGTTTGGAGGGAGCAAAGGAGAGATTGCAGGCCAGTACCAACATAGCGGCCACCTAGAGGAGGGAGTCCAAATTGACTCATGGTTCATGTGTGGGAGAGTCACAACCTGATTGCATCTTACAAGGACACGGGGGTTCCTTCGCATACTGAACTGTTTGTCCGGTGGTTTGCTTTGCCTGAGGTCTTCATCTGGCAAGGAGTCCACTCGTTGGCTACGGCTGATGCAGTCAGCTCGCTTCGCTCCAAGTGTTGGGTGCTACTTGGAACAGAAAAGCTTGGCAAAGCCGCAGAAATTCATAGCGAGAAGCACAAAGACTAGGAACTCAAGTGTGCATGTGTTTATCTCCCAAGATGCCCAAGTTTGCAGCAGGTTGCAGATGATTCGTAGGCTACTTGAGTCTATGTCCGCACAACTGACATGCGGAAGCCGCAGACGGTGTAGAAAACGATTGAGCTGGAACTATGGTGACGGTTACCGCCAACAGGGAACTGCACTGCCCGCCATGCAGGCTACAGCAACTGCGTTAAAGCTTGTGGTGCAGCTGGGGAGTTTCAACAAGCCAAGGAGAGCCACACCGCACCGCTTTTGACCAAACACGATTGTTGGATGCACCAAAATTGAATGTGCAAACCGCACCGCTTGTTAAGCTGCTTGTTGTAACACCAATTTTCCTGGTTACGAAAGCCAGCCTTCGTAGAAGGCGCTAGCGGAGTTGTGTCTGGCGAACGAAGTGAGTAGTTAGGGGGTCTGGGGGGGTGGCCCGAGAAAGGTATACGTCAACTCGGCACATGCTGGGGGAGGAGGGTGCTTCGAGGGAAGGTTTTTTGAGGTTGTGTTGGAGGTGATTTTTGAGGGGTGGTGATGCAAGAAATGCCAAATGCATCATTTGCATCATCTGAATGGAAAGGTGTAGTTGGCACCTTGCAAGGTATAGAGACCTAGGGTAGCCATAGTGCAGCTACCAGGTATAGTACTTCAAGTTGCCTTTCCGTCAACCGCTTGAGAACCTCTACACACGCACAGCAATCCACAGCTTTGAAGTCTCATTCGTGCCTTGAACTTGTATAGGTGTGTAAGAGGTATAGCAACATAGTATTTATACGGACCCAGGGTAGCTACAAGTAGCTACAGTTCTGTTCCCGGGTATGGCGCGCATGAGGCTTCAAAGCTGTGGTTTTCAAGCTAAATTCAAGGTGGCCTGAGACCAGGGTTTGCTGCCCTAAAACACTCTGTTCAGGCCACCTTGAAAATAAAGGTGTAGTTGGCACCTTGCCAGGTATAGACACCCAAAGTAGCTATGTAGCTGTGGTTTTCAAGCTAAATTCAAGGTGGCCTGAG